CTTTTAGTAGTAATTCCCTGTGCTTCACCCACAGCCCCACTCTCCTGCTCGTTCAGGACAGAAACTCAGAGACACGTGTACCTGCGAATCCTCCGGGCTTCGTCCCTGGTGATGATGGCATCGCTGACGCCCCGGCCACACTTCCTCGGGGAGCAGCCTGGAGAGAGTTGAGCTGGGATGAGACGCCAACCCCGCTGAACCCCGACTAAAGAGCTGCCCACTGCTGTCAAGGACTCACCTGTGGGCGGCCCTCCCCAGGGACAACGGAACTTTGTGGGATGGGGCCTTGCCTTCCATGGGATTAGGGGGGCAGGTTTGGCAAATAAAATATAGGCCACTCGGTCAGATGTGAATTTCAGAGAAGCAACGGTGACTTTCCAGCACAAGCAGACCCCCTGCAGTGCACACATCTCACTGGAAGGGGGTGGGTCCTGGCAGTGCCACACCAGGTGGGTCACTCCTGAAGCAGCTGACACTCTGCCCACCCTTGAGAAAACAGCCCAGAGGCGGCATCCACGGTATTCTAGAACCATCACTGACCACAGATCCAGACCCGTTGGCTAGTGCCTCCTGGATGACCAAAGCTGTGCTTGCAACTGTAGTCACTGTCCTTCTGCAGGGCCTGGCAAAACTGCCCAAGGTGCTCACCACACACTCCACCCTGCTTCCTCCTGCCTCTGCACCCAGGACTGAGCTGCTTAGAGGGAGGAGGATGGGGGAGCTTGGATGGGGCCAGGGTCGGGGTGAAAGTGGCCAGGGTCGGGAGCACAGGGCCAGGGTGGACACGGCCAGGGTCAGGGTGGACAGGACCAGGGTTAAAGTGGCCAGGGTTGCCACTGGGTTGGGGTGGACAAGGCCAGGGTCAGGGTGGAAAGGGCCAGGGTCAGGTAGATGGGGCCAGGATGAGGCAGAGCACCAGAGATGGACAAGCTTAGCAAGCCCCTGGTCTCCTGGCACCAAGGGCAGGCTGGCTGCCTTGCACTGGGTGGGCCCTAGGATATGTCCTGGCCGATGAGACACTCTCATGGCCACCCCCTGGCCTTGGGACACTCTCAGGACACACTGGGCTGGCTGACCTTTAGCTTTCATCCTCCTTTCTCTCTTCCTGCCTGGAACATGCCTGGAGGTGGAGCGATTGTCCTGGGACCATGTGAGCCACATGCTGAGTGGGAGAGCTGGGGTGCTCGGCCTGGGGCGCTTACAGGGAGCCAGGCTGGCCTGGGGTGCCTTTTTCTGGGTCTCATCATGTGGGAAAAATAAACTTCTATGTGGGGGTCATTAGGGGAGGGGTGCCTCAGTTCCACAGAGCTAAATACAATCTATTAATATAGGTGTTTTTATTAATACACAAAAATGTTTTTTATAAAGGTTGAAGGTAAAGGCAAAAACAACGATAACCAAAAGACAGCCTGGGGAGCGACATCATATCAACAAATATATATTAACACAAAAGAATTATGAGAGGGGAAAAGACTGATAACAGGAACAGTTTCACCAGGAAGATGCAGGGGCAACAAAAGCACCAAGTGACATCGCCTCAAACACCTCTGGTGGCGAAGTGGCCACCAGACCCAGAGTCTCAGTGGGGACCCTGCCTCGCGGCTCCCAGTAACTGTGGACGGCGAGACAGAAGTTCAAGAAGACAATCCAGCAGCGACACAATAGGCTCAACGTGAATGAGCATGAAAAGCATAATTTGGTGAGAAAGTGAGTTGTGAGTGGCTGACGATGTCAGTGCACATACACAAGTGCACACACTGCAAACACGCACACACACCACCCAGACACACAGGCCCAGGGCAGACGGAGCCCCTGTCAGCTACAGGAGGAGAGAGGGGCGAGGGAGGGGGAGTCCAGAGGCTTTAATGCACACTCCACCTTTCTTTTTTTTTTTTGGTAAAATATATATAACCCCAAATTTACCATTTTAACCATTTTAAAGTGTACAGTTCAGAGGCGTTAACTACGATCACATTGTTGTACAACCATCCCCATCATCATCTCCAGAACATTCTCATCTTCCCAACTGAAAACCCATACCCGTCTCCACCAACTCCCCCTCCACCTCATTCCAACTGTTTTTAATGTTGATAAATTATTAAATGGGTAGGAAAAATACGTTCTCAAAAGCTGTGACTTTAGAGTGAAAAAGCTGACCAAGACAGAGAGAGCATGCCCACAACAGAACCTATCCACTTTCCTGACCCCTGAAGGGAAAGGCAGCCCCCATTCCCCGGGCGCGTCTTTGCCTCCCTTCGTCTAAACCCAGCTTGTGTGCATCACAATGGCGCCCCTTGGTGGAAGGATTTAGCAATATTTTCTTGGTTCAAGTCCAAAGCATTGCTCTCAAGAGAAAAATAAACTGAATTTTGTCTTTAAAACCCAGTCACTTTGGTTAGGTTTTGAAAACTGCTGCCCTCGAGCAGAGGAGGCAGGCGCTGGGATGGGGCACACGACATGGGGGAAGGGCCTCTGGTATCTACGTTCCCTGTTGCAACGTCTTCTGCAGCTACAACACCCTAAGACCGAAAATGCCTTTTCTGGGCTCCACTTGCTCATTACTGTCATCCCAGTTCTGTTACATCCTTCCAGGCAAACCGCCTCTTCCATCAGATGGCACCCACAGTGTGGGGGACCTCAGTGAAACACTGGCCACGGCCTGGGCAGTGACCAGTGGGCCTGCCCCTGCACAGGCAGGACCTGAAACACCCACACTTCCGGGTCCATGTGTGGGCTAACCAACCGGGGGCGGGGGACGGGGGGTCAGCAGCGGGGGGTGAGGAAGGTCACCTGCCCAACGCCACCCCCACACTACTTTCAACCTGATTCCCATCAATTCATTGTAGCAAAAAAAGACGCATTTTGAACACACTGAATTCCACGTTAACATGCTGCTCTTTCCCGGATCACCTCGGCATCGTGTACCTTCAAACCTTCGGTGACTGTCATAGTCCTCGGAGCAGGGTACCTCAATGAACCTGCCTGGCAGGACCTCACTTCGATGAGCTAAGACCTCAGTGATGCTGTCATCACCCCCCAGACTGCCCCAGAGCAGGAGCGCAACGAACGTGGTGCAGGCCCCCAGGACGGCAACTCTCAGCCACTTCTTCCACACATCCCGAGGCGCCCGGACACTCTTGGTGCTGAGAACAGAAAACAGCTGTGGTCACCCAAATGCACCTGCATGTGCTGAAACACAATGACCAGAGACCACAATGACCAGAGACCACACCCACCCTTAGTTACAGCCTTAAACTGTTCCCATGCTGGCTGCTGTCAGAGCTACTCTCAATCAATCCAGAGGCACTCGCCAGCATGGGAGGATGTGGTGGGGAACGTGCCCCTCACCCCATATGACCAGACAGGGCTCACTTGCTCCCAAGGGCAACAAGATGAACTGCCTGTTGGTGTTCCTCCCAGCCTGGCCAGGCCCATGGAGAACCTGTCTGCGAGGTCCTGGCAGAGTCTGTGGCACTGATCACGTTGCCTGCATCCAAAAATAACTGCCACAACCCCATGCATATGGTCCCAGTGCACATGCGTGTGCATGTGTGCGTGCACACACACACACAATGTGAAGTAAGTTAAGCATGAGTCAAGCCCACTTCACTAAAACCACCAGCCAGCCACAAAGAGAATACAAGTACAACAGAAATGATTCACCAGTAAGACACTTTCTGTACCACCCGGGTTAACTGTGGTATTCACACTGCCTGTGCAGAAGTTGTAGGCATGTTTGTGTGTGTGTGCACATGTGTGTCTATGTGTGTTTGGGTGGTATATAACCATGCATATGTGTGTCTGTGTACATGCACGTGTGTTTTCTCGTGTGTGTAACTGAGTAGCCGTGCACTCTGTTATCTAAGAAAAATGTGAAGGGCTTGAAGCACTGGCAGAAATGAGAAAAGAGATCCAGGCATCCTTTCAGGAGATGCACCTCATGTCTTCAAGTATATGATTAAAAGCAGAGAGCCTGCCTTCTATTTTTCTATGTCTCTCCACACTGCAAATTGCTATATATATAACACACAAATTCCGATTAAATAAATCCCAAGGTGGGCACAGCTCACTCAGACTAGGTTGGGTGAATACATGATCATTTTAAACAGGGAGCATAGTTGCCCAGAACACAAAGACCCCCACCCCCACTCCTAGAACTGCTGTCTAGCCTCCAGCCCACCTGGCCTCCTCTAATTAGACCAGGGTGGACACCTCACTCCGGTGGCCCCATCATTTCTCTTCCCCAATTCCGAATGGGGCAGGGAGACTGCCCGCCCATCTCAGCAGCAGGGGCTGGAACCCTAACTGAAGGTGCAAAGCTGTGGGTGACACCTTCGCCTGGAACAGCCCCGCTGCTGAGACAGAAAGGGACAGAGAGGAAGGTACAGAGACAAGAGGGGAAAAAACAGCCTCCTGGGCCAGATTCGGATGCAACACTCCCCTGGAGGTCTCCTCAAAATAAGCACCCCTGTTCAGGGTAAGCTTGCTCAAGCTGCACCCCTAGAATCTTGCCAAAACAGAAGGGGATTTGGAGCAAGGTTCATGGCCCATGGGGCAAGCACGACGACAAGGTAATATATCCTTGAATGATTAAAATACACCCCTGGCTCTTAAAGCTTCAGGCAGAATCCCCTCGAAGGCTACGTGATGAGATCACTTTTTCATTCATCGGGCCCCCCTGGTACACATGGGTGAGAGAGGTCAGAAAAGATTCCCGACGGTCTGCCCCCTCCTGGGCCGCCCCCAACCCAGCCCCGACCCTCCTGGAGCGGGCCTCGCGGGCTTCTTCAGGCCACGCCCTCCAGACAGACCACACCCCTCTAGAGCCCGATTCGCCCAAGCATATACCACGCCCCTCGAGGCCAGGCCACACCCACACTGCAGGCCCGTCCCGGGAAAGGCCCCACCCACGCTAGGTCCAGCCTTTCCTGGCCGGGCCACGCCCCCAGCCCCGCCACACCACGCCCCCGCCCCTCCAGACCAGGCCCCGCCCCCTCGACCAGGCCCCGCCCACGCCGCCGTCCGCGCGCTCCCGGAGCTGCCCGGTACCTGCTCGGGCGCCGGCGGTCAGCTGCCCGGTTGCCCTCGGGCGCCTTGGGAGCGCCCCTCCTTTGAGGTGCCATTGGCCGGGCCGCTGCGGAGCCGGGTCGAACGCGGGATCCGCCGCGAGCCCGGGACGAGCGCCGCGAGAGTCAGCGCGAGACCAGCGCGGCCGGGGACGCGGAGCGACGCGTTCCGCCGTCGACCTCCGGTCTGGTGGCCAGGCCTGAGCAATCGGAGGCCGAGCGCCGAGTGGGACGGAACGGGGACCTGAGGGCATCCGCGGCGCACCCGCCGTTGCCTGCCCGTCCTCCTCCCCTGCCTTCCGCGGAACCCGACGAGTCTCCAAGTCTTCGTCTGAAGTGTGTCCTCGCCCAGCCGTGCGTGCTCTCCCGGCGTCTCCAAGCCCACCTCCCGGGGGTATCCAAGTCCTCCTCCCGGGGCTCTCCAAGCCCTTTCCCCGCCCGGGGTCTCCAAGCCCTCCTCCCAGGGACTTCGCACCCTCTTCTGTGGGGTTTCCATGCCCCTGTCCCCCGGCCCATGCCACACTGGAGGGCACTGGGTCCAGTTGGTGCTCAGTACACATGTATCCGTTAGGCCCTGCTGCTTTGTTTACGACATTCAATTTCCCTAGAGAACCTTACGTCCAGTGGGCAAGAAGTAAGATCTTAACCAGCCCTGTGGAGATACCTGATTCTGAAAGAGTGGAATTAGCAGTGAGGTTCATTCATGAGGATTAAGTCTGAAGAAGGTGAGTAATTTACTGATACGGGGGTAAAGAAAACCTACTTAGACTCATTGAACAAGAAAAGAGATCTGCCCAACAGTCCCGAAACTGGGGAAATCAGATGCCATTTCCTGGTAACTTACCTGGAAGCCCGAGGAACTGGGACAATTGCAGACCTGCCAGGTTGTCTGGTAACAATGACAGTTGACCCAAGTCTTTGAAATAATCACATTTCTATAGACTTCATGCAGGAGGGAATCAAAGCAAAGAACTACAGACTCACAAGATGGATTACTGAATTCTTCCTCTCCTTTTCCTTTAGATTTTGCAGCAACTTACATTGGTAAACAACTCTGAATGTGTCTGATGCAGGTAAGATGTTTGTGTTCATTCCTGCCCTAGGACTACAAGAATAATTGGAGAATTTCTCTCTGAACACGAGGAGGCACACACAGGACCAATGCAGACTTCTCAGCTCAAAATTTTTTCTTTTGGGACTTCCCTGGTGGCCCAGTGGTTAAGACTCTGCACTTCCAATGCATGGGGCGCAGGTTCGATCCTTGGTCGGGGAGCTAAGATCCCACATGCCGCACGGCGCAGCCAGGAAAATATTTTAAAAAAAATTTTTTTTTCTTTTAATTCTATTCCCAGGAAAATAGATTTGGGTTTTTTTTGGGGGTGGGTTTAAATGTAAAACAATTCAACTTTAAAACATTGCAGTTTTTCAGAATGCTTTGTCTTAAACTCATCCACTTATCAGTGGTAATTTAGGTAATTGCTTTAAGAACTTTGTCATTGAAACTGTCTTGAATATAGTTTATTCTTAAAAAAATCAAACTGATTGGTTTCTGTGTGCATTATTGTTATTTCCTCTGCTATATTATGGATTCCTTAAGGTCAGAGATTTATGAATCCTTGCACAGAATGAGTAGTTTGAATTACTGAGCTGAACATATGACCAATGTACAAAGATTTTCTTTCGTTTTCCAATCTAATCCTTTGTGTTTTATGATAGAAGAAATAAGATTTCATTGCTTCCTAGCTGGTTCAGCATCATCCAGATAGTTTCTCTAGTTTAACATAAACTAGCCAGCACTGATAAACTGTGGCTTACTTGTTTTTTAAATTATCAGTGGCCTGTTTTAAATCATAGGTAGTTTTCTCTGACCTAGAATAAATTTTTAGAGCTTCTTCCTCTGTACAACCAAGCTGACTCGAACTCTAGAAACATAATTGTTTTTAACGCTATTCAAAGTAGAATAAAATTGAGGACAAATTTTCTACAAAAACATCATATTGTGGGGCCTGAAAAGTGTTTGAGATATCTGCCTGTTTTCACAGGCATAGTATACATAGGATAAGAGGGTCTTTAAAACAAGAAATTATTTTGCAGTCATTTGTGTTATTACAGATTATAGCCATTTTATAAGTAAACAGTGCTATTCTATTTTAGGGACAAATCACAACTAAATGGCAAGGGTCCCTATGTTTGAACATGGAGACAGACATCCTTTTTTTTTGATTTGGCTGCGCTGCGTGGCATGTGGAATCTTAGTTCCCCGGCCAGGTATCAAACCCATGCCCCTTGTAGTGGAAGCATGGAGTCTTTTTATTTATTTATTTAGTTAGTTAGTTAGTTAGTTATTTTGGCTGCGTTGGGTCTTTGTTGCCGTGCACGGGCTTTCCTACTAGTTGTGGCGAGCAGGGGCTACTCTTTGTTGCAGTGCGCGGGGTTCTCATTGCGGTGGCTTCTCTTGTTGTGGAGCACAGGCTCTAGGTGCACGGGCTTCAGTAGTTGTGGCACACAGGCTCAGTAGCTGTGGCTCGTGGGCTCTAGAGCGCAGGCTCAATAGTTGGGACGCACGGGCTTAGTTGCTCCGTGGCATGTGGAATCTTCCCGGACCAGGGCTCGAACCCGTGTCCCCTGCATTGGCAGGTGGATTCTTAACCACTGCACCACCAGGGAAGTCTGAAGCATGGAGTCTTAACCACTGGACCGCCAGGGAAGTCCCAAGACAGACATCTTGATTCGATTTCATGTCGGTGAAATGAGTTCCCTCCCAGTTCATGTCAGAATTGAAACAGACATTGGAAGGACCAGGCCAGTTGAGCCTCTGGAGTCTATAACCCTGAATTTCTCCACTAGGAAGAAGTGTCCAGACAAGAGGTTTTTTGTCACATGATTTCACAAAAAATAGTACGATGTCGGGTTGCTCACCATTTAAGATGCGACTAGTTCATCTGGACCTGAAAGGAGCCCCACCGAGGGTCTGCTACCTCTCGGAGGTGAGAGCTCCCTTTCTCCTCTAGAGAATCACTTTGCCTTGGGTTTGGTTATGAAGTTGTGAACAATCGATGTTCTGTAGACGTGTGCTTGGAACACAACTGTGGGTTCTGTGTTGGGGCACGGTGGTGGCAACAGCATAGATTTTGAATTTCCCCCAAATCCCCTCACAAAGCAGACAGCAACCAGGATAGCAAAAGGAAAAACAGAAAGGACAAAAGACACACACAACCTCTTCATTGTGAGCTGAATCGTGTTTCCCAAAAAGATATGTTTAAATCCTAACCCGTCGGACCTTGGAATGTGACCCGATTTAAAGACACGGTCTTTGCAGATGTCGTTGACATAAGATGAAGTCATATGGAAATAGGGTGAGCCCTAATCCAATAAGTGGTGGCTTTATAAGGAGAGGAGAATTTAAACACAGAGACATACACAGAGGGAAGATGATGTGAGGACACAGGGAAGGTACCACATGAGGACAGAGGCAGAGATTAGAATCGATGCGTCCACAAGCCCAGGAGGACCAAGGGTGCTGGAAACTCCCAGAAGCTGGAAGAGGCAGGAAGGATTCCCCTTACAGCCTCAGAGGGGGAGCATGGCCCTGCTGACACCCTAGGTTTGGGACTTCTGCCTCCAGAACTGTGAGAGAATAAATTCTGACTGTTTCAAGCCACCCAGTTTGTGGTGACTTCTTATGGCAGCCACAGAAAACATATGTACTCTAAATCAAAAGTAGGCATCAGGGCATCCCCGTGAATTCCAAAATGCAAGGGGTGGGGCCAAACCACCTATAGCACAACACCCACGTGGGGTTAGCAGCCAGGCAGGGGGTGGTAGAGGAAAGAGAAAAGAGAATTCAGACAATGTCAAGACCAGAGGACCCAGAAAAGAGCCCAGCTAGTAAAGGTCTGTCAGAAACTGGGCGAGTTGTCCCTGGCTCCAGGTTGAGGGTGAGTGCCCAAGGCCTCAAAGCACTCCAGAATACCTTCCAGAACCTTCTTCCAGAAGGACAGAGCCCACACTAAGGACACAGTGTTGGGGGAAAAATCCACACTGAGCTGGGCAGGAACATTGAGGGTGAAGTGGAGAGAAGTTTCAAATACTGGGGGGACGGGATCCAGAGGGAGTGGAGACCACGTGCTGTGGCAGTAGCTGCACAAAGTCCATAACCACTAATCCTTTATGTAACAGCAGCAGAGGGAGCCCTGGGCTGGCCCAGCTCCATCCCAAACAGAAGAACCTGCTCTCAAAAACACAAGAAAACACATCTCATTTAAAAATGAGCAACAGAAAAGGAGTGTAGTTGTGCCACACAAAGACACTAAGAAAAAAGAGGACGATGATCTGAGTAACAGTGAAGGTGCACCAGGAACGTGTGACCACAAAGCAGATGACATAGTTCCGCAGTATTTCAGAAAGAGAGCAGAGATACTAGGAAAGTGATACAGTTATGGAAGAACAGTGTAAGTCAGAAATAGAAAAGCCCAGAAATGTGACAGCCAGACAGAATGAGGTTGTGAAAAGATTGCCTCCAGACTCGGGAATGAATTAGAAAGAAAAAGAAAAAAAAAAAAAAAAGTCAGAAACAGAGACCAAACTAGAAAAAGAACAAAAGTGAATAGACGCCATGGGAAACAGTATCGGGAAATAAATGGCAGAGAAGAAAAAGTCAAGTGTGAAGAGATAAAAGCATGGTGACAAATGGATAGATGTGGAAGACAGGCAGAGAAGATCCAGCTTATGTGTAGCTGGAGCCCCCATTTCATTACCTGCTGCTGCTGACAGAGTCAGAGGTTTAGACAACAATTTCTTATTCCTCCTGTTTCCACAAGTTGGCTGGGTGGCACCCTTACGCTGAGCTTAGCCCCTTAGCCACCAACAGCACCAAGGATCCCTACCACCCCCAATAGAAGTGCCAAAGAGGCCACCCAGTGGTCAGATGGCCAAAAGGCTACAAGGGAAACCAGGAGCAAAAACGCTGAGGAAAATACGAAAATGCCGTAACCATTATGTTCCATTTGTGTAAGTGACTGACCTGGGTTAGTTTGACTCCTTTCCACAATCTGCCTCTTCTTGTAATTTGCAGTCAATTATTGATTACCCGTTTTACAATTATCCCAGCTAATTCTTAGTCCCAAGCTGATTTCCTCTTTCCATCCAGCATGCTTCAGAACATCCCCATATTCTTGGGGAAAGAAAACTTCTGACAGCAACATCAACAAGAATGCTACAAATCACATAAAACTCACAGTGGCCCTTGTCTGGAGGTGGGTTACTATTCTGAGTTTCTGCAGGAGCCCCCTCCCTTAACACCCACCCCTGGCCGTGATGCCAGGCTAGAAGAAAATCTCAGTCCTGTGTACAGTAGACACAGTCCTAAAAGTACTGGAGGATAGGGATCCATGTTCTTTGAGATAAAGGTAGAGAAAGAAGTGGGGGAGAACCAGGGGAGGGACCCCATGAGCACAGCGGGATAGCCTCTTTCCTCCTTCATCTCCCTCTAGGCTCCTTCCAGGTGCTCCAGTAACCCTCCAGAGCCCTGTAGGCTCCCCTTACCCCAGCACCCCCCAATTCCGCCCCCTTGTATCAAATGAACACATCACTACATTAGAATTTGATTTGGCGTCACACGGAGTACGTGGGAAGAATACAAAGATCAACTACGATCCATGTCCATCAGCTGGAAGAATGAGTCCATGAGCTACACATGTGTCACTTTCTGTTCAAATAGTCATTTCTTCATCACATCCCCCTCTCCCCCAGATTTTCCCCCTGTTCCGTGCCCTGGGTGCCAACGGCCTCCTCATCGAGTATGAAGACATGTTTCCCTACGAGGGCCACCTGAGGCTGCTGAGGGCCAAGCACGCATACAGGTACCCGAGCCGCCAAGCAAGGCGATGCCTCTGCAGAGAAAACGGGGTGTGTGGGGTGGCAACCTGGAAGAGAGTGGAGGGCAGGCGAGAATTGAACGACAGCAGGACAGTCCTCTTCTGTCTTGTTAAATGCATGTCTTTAATCATAAAAATAAAGCATGTTCACTGAAGAGAATTTAGAAACGTTTAAAAGAAAATAAGCATCAGCTGTGATCCCCCACAAGGAAGCGCTGTGATCTGTTTCAGTCTTGTCTGGGTGTGAAGTGTGTGGAGGACACTTTGAAGGTGTCCATGCAGGGGAGGGAGGGCTGCTCTTTAAGGCGGGATCTTCACCGGGAAAGTGAGGATTAAAGGGGAGAGAATCAGAATCAGTGAAGTCGGATAGTGTGGTCATGGGTGCACCCCACTTGGCTTTAAAATTATGGGTATCCATGTAAATCGGTAATAAATAGCCCAAAAGAAAATGGGCAAAGAACATTCTGATCCCCCAAAAAGAAAGAAAAATAGCCAATAAGTATATGATAGTAATAAAATAACAGTGAAATGCCATTTTGGCTACCAAATTGGTGACGCTTTTAAAAAAATGCCAATGCTCTGTGTCCACGGGGGTGAGCAGGAGCAAGCCTCCCACTGGTGGGCTGTGAAGCAGCCCAGCCTTTCTGGAGGGCAGCTTGGCTCCATGTGGTAGAACTCCCAGCACGTACGTGTGGGCAGGAAACAGGAAAGGCATGAACCAGAGCATTAATGTGGTGAGATGGCGGAGGTATTCGTGTTTATTCCTACAATGAACACGTTTTGTTCCTTTGTTTTTGAAAGTGAAAAAGGTGCCAGGGTTCCGGTGAAGCTTGAAAAAGGTATATTTACAGACAGAACTTTATATAATCAATTCATCTATAGAACTGGTTAACTTTAGAGATGGTTCAAACACATACAGAAGTTGAGATAAATTCACAAATGACAACTCATGGTGGAGCAGGCAGTGGGCCCTTCCAGGATGGCGTCCTCAGTGGCCTCAGCGACGAAATGCTGGCCTGAAGGGACACTCCCACCTGAATCTTGAAACTCTTCGTTTTTCTTTCCTCTATTAAAGGGATCACCAGCCTTTTGTACGAAGGGCCAGACAGTAGATATTTTAGGTTGTGCAGCCCATCTGATCTTTGTTACAACTAATAGTGGGGCAAAAGCAGCCACAAGTGATAATAATGAGTGGGTGTGGCTGTGTTCCAATAAAACCCTATTTGTGGACACTGAAGGATGAATTCCATACGATTTTCACATGTCACAAAATATTCTTCTCAACAATTTTAAAACATAGAAACCATTCTTAGGTCACAGGCTGTACAGAAACAGGTGGTGTGTTTGTTCTCAGGCCCATCTTTCCACCTTTGCTCAAAATATGATTGCTTGTGTGGCCTAGTTTCTTGTAAAATGACTTTAGCCTCTTGTTGAGTTTGGGTCAGAATAGCTGGTACTATTCCCACAAGAAGTAAACTGTTACTTGACATAACGGCATCGTTTTCCTAAACTCTAGCGTGGGAGTCTTCTCTGAAAACTTAAGAATATCCGTTGGGCTTTTCAGAGTTAGCACCCCTGCTAGTTTCCGCGGTAGACTCCCCCAGGAACCTGATGAGGGGGGTTGGGGGGAGCCTGAATGGAAGCCTGTGTGAACCTCTCTGGGTGGTCTTGGTCTCTCTAGCCCCTCCGAAATCAAAGAGATCCTGCATCAGGCCACACTGAATGAGCTGGAGGTCATTCCCTTGGTGCAGACATTTGGGCACATGGAGGTAAGTGGGAGGAAGGAAAGTTACCTGGTACCCAGGTGTGGGGTTCAGGGGTGTGCGGACGGGGCCAGACACAGGCAGGGAGCAGCTCAGCACTGTACAGAGAAGCTCTGTGAACGGCTGAGGAGCTCGGAGCTCTAGGTGGGAGCACCCTCTGTCCAAGGAGGGGAGGGGAAGAGCTGGATGGGGGGCCTGATTCCCACAGAGCCCTGCAGACTGGGTGGTTTTCCTTTTTAACGTATATTCATCAAAGTATTATTGTGCAAGGTGAAATACAACATTAAGAAAATGTACTTTCTAGGACTTCCCTGGTGGTCCAGTGGGTAGGACTCTGCACTCCCGATGCAGGGAGCCTTGGTTCGATTGTGCTGCCAATGCGGGGGGCCCGGGTTTGATCCCTGGTCGGGGAACTAGATCCCACATGCATGCTGTGCCTAAGAAGTCCGCATGCCACAACTAAAAACAGATCCTGCATGCCATAACTAAAGATCCCGCATGCCGCAGCTAAGGATCCCACGTGCCGCAACTAAGACCTGGCACAGCCAAAATAATAAATATTTTTTTTAAAATACTTTATTAAAAAAAAGAAAACGTGCTTTCTGTGGTCTCCTTTTTCACTTAATTTTGAAAGTATTCTCCCAAGCTCCTATGTGATCTTCAAAAATACTTTTCACGTCTGCCTCAGATAAGGGGAAGCAAATTAAACATAATACTGATTTAATGGCTCTCAGGCTCCGTTTAGATCTATCAGCAGTCCTTCCCCCACATCTTCACTTTCACTTCCAGTGATGGCGCTTTCCTTCCTGTTCAGGGATTCTCTCCCACCATCTGCCCTCCAGCTCTCCTGGTGGACTCTCCCTGCTGTGCTCTCTGGGCTCCGGTCCTGACACACTCGTTACCCACAACCCCCTCCTCCTAAACCCTAAGGCCTCCTGGTCCCCGGCTCTGGCTGTGCCCGACATCTTCTCCGTGTGCTGTCCTGTAGCTGCACTGGACTTGGCTGTCCCCATGGCACCTCTCGAGGGCCCTCTACTCACTTCACACTCCTTCTCTGGATAAAGCCATTTCCCCTCCTGCTTCCCTTTCCTGTCCTCAGTGACTCCCAGGACTCCCGTCTCTCGTGCAGACCCTGGGTTCTAGTCTACAGTTGTCTGCTTGGCGTCTCTGTTGTGAGGCCTCTTCCAGCCTCAGGGAGGGGCTGTACCATCCCCAACCCCCCCACTCCAGCTGCATTTCCCGTCTACTGTCAGG